TTTAAGGTTTAGGGGTTTAGGGTCGAGGGTTTAGGGGTCTAGGGTTTAGGGCTTAGGGTCTGGGGGGGCAGGGTTTAGGGTTGGTTTAGGGTTTATAGGGTGTGGGATCTAGGGTCTATGGCGTAGGGTTTCGAGCTGAGGAACCGCATGCAGGTAGGTGGCTTTCCGATCACGCGTCAAGGCAAGTATCGACCAGCAGGTGTTCTGCTGGGGGTGAGAGACAAGTGCGACAGAATCCCATAGGCTCAAGACTAGCCGTAGGGTTAAGCCCTTAACCCTAAACCCCTAAACTCCTAAATTCCTAAACCCCTTAGCCCTAAACCCTTATGAGGCTTGCGCAGTTTGCGCGGGGTCTAGAGTATCTTGAAGTGCATTGAAGTCATGCTCAATCAGCTTCCTGTCCAACTCTTGGTCACCGCTCGGATCCCAGTCTTGGCGACATTGCGGACATTGACTCAAATTCCTGGCACGCATTCCGCCAATGCACTTAAGATGATAGCGATGTTCACAACCGGACCACTTGGTAGGAGCTTCGAGACCGACCGGGGTATCCACCAATGGATCGTGACATATTGCGCAGTGCTGAATCTCGTCTTCGTCTTCCCACTGTTTGCCACATTGAGGACAACCACGGGCATGTCTTCGGTCAATGCACTTTCGATGGTAGCGATGTTGACAACCAGAACACCTTGTAGGGGCTTCGGGACCGACGTGGGTTTCCACCAATGGCGCATACATAGCTGACAGGCCTGGAGGCTTGGTTTCTGCATTCTCTTCTCAAAGCCCTCGCGTTCCCGCAGACTGCGCGCCTCAGATCCCAAGCGTTCCCAGAGGGCCCCACCTCTTGTCTGCAGTGCACTGTAGACCTCAGCGTTGTAAACATTTCCCTTGGACTTTCGGCACAAACAGATCTTCCCGCGCTGGGCAAAGGGCGGAAGGTATTGTCCAGCCCCGCAAGTGCAGGTTCGCTGACACTCGCAAGGCTTTACAACCTTGGACTTGGGAGGAAAAAGGCGTCTGTCGCAAATGCAAGCTCCGGGCCCAGTACCCCGTTCCTGATGAGGCACCGGAACGAGATTTCTGGGATGGCCGGCCTGGGCTTCAATCACTGGCCGAGCAAGAGCAGGTAATGAGGCGGATCTCACTGGCTGAGAGGAAGGCCGAACAGAAGCGGTTTTGCTGGTTTGGGACGAGCTCTGCGAGCTTGGCCTGCGACCCGCCGCCACATCCATTCCTAACAGTACTGCCTAAGGCCCTGCAGCTTGAGCCGCAACATGTTCTTCGTAGGAACAAAGAAAAGACGGGTTGCCCTCAGCCCCAGACCCTAAACTCTAGACAGTAGACCCTCGAAACCCCAAATATGCGGCTGTGGAATTGAAGGTTTAGGGTTTTTGGTTTGGGGTTTTGGGGCCTGGAGGAGAAAGTCTTCCACTCCTGAGAAGATGTCGGAAACACGAAGCCTTCCTACGGGTTTTAGGATTTAGGGCGGCCTTAAGGCTCAGAGGTTCAGGGTTTAGGCTTTGGGGCAAGAAGTCTCAACTCAACACGGCGTGATGGGCTCTCGGTGGCAGTTGCGGCACTGGGTGGAAGTGATTGGAGCGGCCCTGGACCCCTAAACAACAACCCTAAACCCTAAACCCCGAGCCCCACAAAGGCTAGAGCCCCAAAAAAGACAAGAGGATCTGTAACCCTCAAGCTGCGAAAGGGTTGCAATTTTCTGGGCTCTATATATCCCCACCTAACTAAGGCTCACATGCAGACGGATTTTGAGAGTTTAGGGTTTAGGGGGATTGGAGAATCGAAACTTAGGAGCTTTAATAAAGTTAGTTCAGGGTCGCCGAAACGGACTCCTAGAACTGCTGGCAGGATAAGTGGCTCCGCTCAAGCACAGGGTTTTTGGGGTCCGGGTTTAGGGGCATGGGACTTAGGAAAGCAAGCAGTCAAACGCCCAAGTCCGCGACCCTGAGCCCTAAACCCTAAACCCTGATCCCTAAACCCTAATCCGTAAACCCTAATCTGTAAACCCTAAACCCTAATCCCTACATCCTAATCTAACCCCTAATTCCTAATTTCTAAACCCTAAACCCTAATCCC